GGTCACCATGGAAACAGAGAGCCCATCTCTAAGTTGACCAATCTTGTCCATACAATAACAAATAGTTTTCTCACAGTAAGAGGAACCCAGCTAGCTACTAAGATGAGACCATTAGAATTTATCAGACACTCTGTCGTCCAAAACAAATGTGCTGTCTGAGATTTTGAAGATGCTATGTTGGAGGAAAATACAAAGGATTTTGTTTTCTTTCTCTTCTGAATGTGGCAGATTATCTGTCAACCAAAGTGATTTGTGAGAAACAAGACAGTGAAGAGTGTGCCTAGGGATGGAGGATAAAAAGTATTATAGGATATGTCAATACTCTAATAAGGGGTCCCAGAGCCCGAACTCCAGCCCAAGTCCAGATCTCTACACTGCAATTTTATAGCCCCACAACCCTAGCCCTGTGAGTCTGAGTCAGCTGACACAAGCCAGCCACAGGTGTTTTATTGCAGTGTAGACATACCCTTAATGTTCTACTAAACCACCCAGGCAGTGGTCTGTCTGTGGAATAAAATTCTCACTCAGAGTGTTCTGGAATATTTCTGGCTACATTAATTTCTGAGGGCAGACCATCAAAACAGGTCCTTTGCCCCAAAAGGAAAGATGAGCCCCAACCTCAAAGTGCAGGGGGTAATGGTTGATCTGTGACATGGGTTTAAGTGAAGTTACTTAGCCTCCAATCCCGATCCAAAAACCAGGTCCAAACTGTGATCAGCTGTCTCAGTTGAACCAATAAATGCCTGATCCATCAAAGGCCATGGTCCTCTTGGCACCCAGGAAATCCTAAACTGCCTTAGAAGATTTAAAATCTGCATGCAGATTGAAGTCACTGAGAACAACTGGATCAAATGCCACCATAGTGAGGAATGTTATTACTAAGTGACTTGGCAGTGCAGCAAGGCAAGCTGAATTTAACCAGGAACTAGATGTTTTACATCATCTCCTTACAAATGCATCGTAGACTATATGCATTAAATGATTTATTAAATAGAATGCATGTGTTTGGAGAGTACCCTGATGGGCAGGTATTATTATTATTTATTATTAACAATAATAATAAATAGTGGCTTATGGGTTTTTTTGTTGTTAAGCCCTAAGGGCTGATTGCGTGGCAGCAGGACTCTGGGTTCAAGGAGAGATTTTTTTCAGTGATCAGTTGTCCTGGGAAACAGCTACTTTCTTAGGTACCTTTCCTCTCATTCTCTGTCTGTCTGTCGGTCTTTATCTTTTTCCTACTATCTCACTGGAGGGGGAAAAAAATACTATCTTATTTTTACTATGTCTCTTGTGTTTCCATTGACAATGCAAGAATTTTGTTTTTCTCCTGAGTAATGCTCCACTTCTTATTGTTCTTGTCTCATCTGTTTCCTTCTCTGCTCCTGAAACGCAAACCCTTGCCTTGGGTGGGGTCACTATCCAGAAAAGTGTATTTCTTTATCGTTGGAAAGTGTTCCCCACCCTACATTAATTTAATGTCCCTTTGTGAGCCAAGGAGGCTGAGAGGGGGTAGCTGTCACAGTGACAGTAAATGAATTAAAAGCTGTGTGCACAAGATGAAAGGCCCAGGACACAGTAGTATTTTGTTGGGATTCAGAGATGGAATGTTACTAATGAGGACGTCGTAATAAAATGTCTTCTGTTTATGTTGAATGCCTTTTCTTGGTGGTGGCATAGCAGGTCCACATATCAAGAAAAAGGTGAAAAACTTTCACAGTACATATGCCGTCTGGAGAAACTACTACGTAAGGTACTGGTAAAGAAGGGAATGATCAGGTGAGGATGGAGCAAGTACTGAAGGGTGCTTTGTCCTGGCAACCTGATAGCCCTGAAGCTGCAGCTTTCTGATTCACTTTAGAATCCTCCCCTCCTTCTCCTTACTGGTACGGGATATCAAGGAAGAGGAGGATCAACTGGCTGCTCGGGAAGCTGGCCGCATACCTGCAGCTTCTGTATGCACTCTTTCCGCTCTGGCTCCTCATGATGAAATAGCTGACCTAAAGAAGGGCCTGCTGTGTCTAACTGAGCAAGTTAATCAGCTACTTCAGCTGAATACTTTAGTGGAAAACCTGACAGATTCCGTCAGTTACAAAGGAGGGATGCCCTTCTGAGAACCAATGATGCAGTGGCTGATATTACCACCCGTCGTTCAAGAGGCTCTGTGGAAACTACTTGTCAAAGTGACTTCTTCTGCTACAAGTGTGGGGAGAATGGTCACACAAAACAAGACTGTGAAGTGGAAGAAGATTTATAGAAAGTCGCCCGCAAGCTTATCCAAGCCAGAAAGAATTCAGAAAACTTCAGAGAAGCCCAGTGAAGGAGTGAACTGGGGCATCAAAGAAGGTACGCTCCACTAGGTGCCACCAACAGGTTGCTAGTAGCTGGAGGGATTTGCCCCCAGGACTGCTCAGTCCAACTCCCATTGTCCCTGTTCAAGTAGAAGGCATTTATGCTCACGCCTTTCTGGACACTGGTTCGCAGGTCACCATTCTATATAAAATATTTTACAACACCCACCTTCGTCACTTGCCTATCCAACCCTTAGATAATTTGGAAATCTGGTGGTTGAGTAATCAAAAATACCCATATGAGGGATACTTGTCCATTCAAATTGAGTTCCCACTGTCCATTCTGGGAGTTCCCGAGAAGCTGGACACTTTAGTCCTAGTGTGCCCAGACCCCTGTGTCAAAAGTAATGTCTCAATCTTGGTTGGAACCAACACCAGTCTGCTCCGGTGATTTTTCAAAGTATGCAAGGAAACCATGGGGGAACAATACATCAATACCTTCCCTATCACCCTGTCAAGGCTGATCCCCACTTTGAACCTTAGGGTACAAATGTAGGGGCCTGCATAAAAACTTCTAAGCTTATCTACCAGCTTAGCTTTGGTCCGCTGCCACCATCACAAGAATTCCCTCCCTGGGAAGCCTTGAGAAACCTTTCACCAATTCCCTGGTGAATACACATCCAAACCCCCTTGGATCTTAAAACAAGGAGAAATCAATCTGGTTCTTAAAAAAGAAGGCTTTTAATTAAAGAAAAAGGTAAAAATCATCTCTGTAAAATCAGTATGGAGAATAACTTTACAGGGTAATCAAACTTAAAGAGCTCAGAGGACCCCCCTCTGTCTTAGGTTCAAAGTACAGCAAAACAAAGACAAACACTCTGGTAAAAAGGTACATTTACAAGTTGAGAAAACAAAGTGAATCTAAGACGCCTTGCCTGTCTTTTTACTTACAAGTTTGAAATAGGAGAGACTTGTTTAGAAAGATGGGGAGAACCTGGATTGATGTCTGGTCCCTCTCAGTCCCAAGAGCGAACCACCCCTTAAAACAAAGAGCACACACAAAAGCCTTTCCCCCCCCAAGATTTGAAAGTATCTTGTCTCCTTATTGGTCCTTGGGGTCAGGTGTCAGCCAGGTTACCCGAGCTTCTTAACCCTTTACAGGTAAAAGGATTTGGAGTCTCTGTACACAGAGAGCTGTTACCCTTCCCTTTATAGTTATGACACACCCTAACATACGTGAAGCCTATAAATGCTTCCAAGGAGAATCTCTTTGTTTCTGATGAGGATGCCAATAGGTACGGCAGTGTGTGGTACTCACAGAAAAGAACTGTCCACATACCACCCGGTGACACCCATCAAGTGACTAGGATCCCTAAGTTTCCTGTTCAGCCTACAGGTCAGTTGTTGTTATTGGAACCACCAGAGGTAATGTCTCTACCTGGAGGATTTGTGGTCAGGCCTGAGGTGCAAGCGGCTATGGTAGTGTCTACTAGAAGGATCACAGTTACTGTTAGAAATGTATCTGTTCACAAAGTGATCATTCGGCGTGGGACAGTGATTGCCCAGTTGTTCCCAGTTGATGTACTACCTCAGATGCATATTGCAGCAGTCAAGACCAACACTTATGACTTGACACCCGACTGTTTTGATTTTGGAGATTCCCCTATCCGTCTAACTGACTCTCAACCTTTTTGAGAATGATCCCGTTGCCTGGCCCCAGCCGACGTGGAAGATGTTCAGAGACACTTACGTGACTTGATGGCCACTGGAATAATTTCTGAGTCACGAAGCCCGTATGCCTCTCCAATTGTTGTAGTGAGGAAGAAGAATGGATCTGACAGAATGTGTGTAGCTTATAGAACTCTAAATAAGCGCACTGTACCAGACCAATTTTCAGTGCCAAGGATCGAGGATGTCCTTAACTGCTTAGATGGAAGTAAATGGTTTACTGTATTAGATCTTCTCAGTGGATATTATCAAATACATGTGAATAAGGTGGATAAAGAGAGAACTACTTTTATGTGTCCACTTGGATGTTACCAATTTGAGAGGATGCCCCCACGGCATTTGTGGGGCTCCTGCTACCTTTCAAAGATTAATGGAGTGAACAGTTGGAGACATGAATCTCCTGGAGGTCCCTGTCTACTTGGATGACCTAATTGTTTTCCGTGCATATAGGTGCTGGGTGCACAAACATGATTTACATGAGAAAATGCCTATTTTACATACAGTGCATGTGCAAAGGTTTTTGTGGTGCAACTGGAGGGTAGTATCGAACCAGGGATCTCTAGAGCTTAGTGCATGAGCCTCTACCACATGAGCTGTTAGCTAAGGCTATAGAGCAGACTTATTAATTGCTCTCTCTTTAAGTGGTCTCAGTGCCACTAGATGGGACAGAACATCACACCTAGAAGGTGTGTGAGTTACACATCCTTAGAGGTTGTTTGAAATTCTAGCTCTAAATGTGGAACTTTGGGGGTGGACGGGAGGAAAGAGATTTAACTTCAGGTAACTTTCCAGCTCCTACACCGCAATCACATTTGGTAGTGTAATGGAGCCTTTAGAATGGACTTTCTCTGCAGTTTGCAAATGTGTTCCTGTCACATCCAAGAGCGGTCTTGTCATGGCTCCATAAATGGGAGCATTATCATTGGAAATAGATCTACTGTTAAGCCCATAACTTCATGTATCAAAATTCTCTTGCATCTCCAGATGAAAGAACAGATCAGTTCTCAGATGACTTACCAAGGTCTGATTTTGAGTGTGGTCTTTATCATGCTCTGCAGGACAGAAGGTAAGGCCAATGGAATTTCCTCTCAGATTTCTACAAGAAGTGTGGGGGCTGGTCTCTGATTCCTGAGGCTCCATCAGTGAAGTGAAGTGACACCTCGCTGGGTCCTCTAAGACAGAGAGTCTTAAACTGGGGGACATGGAATGTATTCTGGGAGCTGGCTGCCTTCAGAGCTGGGTTGCCGGAGAGCAGTGGCTGCTGGTCGGGCACCCAGCTCTGAAGGCAGCAACGCCAACGCTAGCAGCACAGAAGTAAGCATGCCATGGCATGGTATTACCAACCCAAGATGGAATTGCTCTTCTCCAAAAAAAAACAGGTACAGCCATCACACCAGTAACAACAGTGTGATGCCAGTAAGCAGTATCTCACTTAAAATTTACATTACTATATACTTAAATGGCTCTGTTTGAATCAATGCCTTAATGTTTTTACTATTTAGTGAGAGTTTCATGTTGATTTTTTTTTATCAGTATGTGTACGTGTGTGGCAGGGGTGGGGCGTAAACTACTACAGACAGAAGGAAGGGGGACGCAAGCAAATAACTTTGTGAACCACTGGTCTCAGAAACCAGTTAATCTAAGTCTCCCTCTTTTTCTGTGTGCATAGATAATTTAATGGATTCTTTCTCCATCTGGTTCTGTGGGAATGGCTTTGGGTCTCTCTTGCTATCCAGTCTTCCTCTAACCATTTATTAGAAAAAAAAATCTGTTGGGAGAACCGGAAGCCGTATGTGGATTTAATCAAGTGGAGGTAGGTGTTTAGAGGGGTCGGTAAGGAGGTGCAGTAAGTGGCTTTCCCTTTTTGATGGTCTAATAAAGATGGAGGCCAAGGACCTCAGCTGGTGTAAATCAACAATGCTCCATTGAGGTCAATAGAATAGCCCCATTTTACACCTGCCAGTTATCTGGCCCAGAAAGTCAGCAAGAGATTTCTAAGCATTAGCAAAGGTGATATTTGTCTATTTAATATATTGTTTTATATCACTACAGCGGACACAGTAACACAGAAAAACGTGGTGAAGGTGGGTGGCAATGTGACCTTGAGCTGCCTCCTGATGGGATCACATGATATTCTGCAAGTTACATGGCAGAAGAAAAATACTGGAGTGAATGAAAATTTGGCCACATACAGTGTATCTAAAGGAGTAAATATTGTTGAAACATATCGAGGTCGATTAAATTTCACACGCCTGTCACTAAATGATACGGCCATTACCCTCTGGAGAGTTAGAATCCAGGATGACGGATGTTACACATGCCTCTTTAACACCTTTCCCGCTGGAGCCATCGTACAAGACACCTGCTTGACTGTCTATGGTGAGGTTCTCTGTGGGGCAAAATCTCTAAAGGGAAGGGAAGGTGTTTTCTATTGGCAGCATTTGCTCACAGTATTCACTGGTCAGTTGCACGAAGAACTCCAGCACTGGGAACTTCCCAACAGCAGTACTATGTCTGTATTAGCTGGAACTGCGTTAGAAGAATACCTTTCTTTTTTATCAATATGTGTACTTGTGTGGCGGGGGTTGGGCGTAAACTACTACAGACACAAAGAAGAGGGGCACGATCAAATAACTTTGTGAACCACTGGTCTCAGAAACCAGTTAATCTAAGTCTCCCTCTTTTTCTGTGTGCATAGATAATTTAATGGATTCTTTCTCCATCTGACTCTGTGGGAATGGCTTTGGGTCTCTCTTGCTATCCAGTCTTCCTCTAACTTCTTATTAGAAAAAAAAAATCTGTTGGGAGAACCGGAAGCCGTATGTGGATTTAATCAAGTGGAGGTAGGTGTTTAGAGGGGTTGGTAAGGAGGTGCAGTAAGTGGCTTTCCCTTTTTGATGGTCTAATAAAGATGGAGGCCAAGGACCTCAGCTGGTGTAAATCAACAATGCTCCATTGAGGTCAACAAAATAGCCCCATTTTACACCTGCCAGTTATCTGGCCCAGAAAGTCAGCAAGAGATTTCTAAGCATGAGTGAAGGTGATATTTGTCTATTTCATATATTGTTTTATATCACTACAGCGGACACAGTGACACAGAAAAACGTGGTGAAGGTGGGTGGCAATGTGACCTTGAGCTGCCTCCTGATGGGATCACATGATATTCTGCAAGTTACATGGCAGAAGAAAAATACTGGAGTGAATGAAAATTTGGCCACATACAGTGTATCTAAAGGAGTAAATATTGTTGAAACATATCGAGGTCGATTAAATTTCACACGTCTGTCACTAAATGATACGGCCATTACCCTCTGGAGAGTTAGAATCCAAGATGACGGATGTTACACATGCCTCTTTAATACCTTTCCCGCCGGAGCCATTGTACAAGACACCTTCTTGACTGTCTATGGTGAGGTTCTCTGTGGGGAAGAATCTCTAATGGGAAGGGAAGGTGTTTTCTATCAGCAGCATTTGCTCGCAGCATTCACTGGTCAGTTGCATCAAGGACTCCAACACTGGGAGCTTCCCCACAGCAGTACCATGTCTGTATTAGCTGGAACTGCGTTAGAAGACTACCCTATCTATCGCTGCTAGAGGGACTCCAGCAATGTGAGCTGCCTCTCTGCAGGCCCATGTTTCTGCATGTGGAGACTCTCACTGTGAGCGTTCTTACTTTAATGTCCTCTGAGTGCCGGCTAAAACTCATGGAGGGGTCACTTCCTCCCTGCAGGGTCTTCCCAGACATGGCTAGGACTCGGGCTGTGTGAGCCTCCTCACTGCACAGCACTATTGGTAGCAGCTAGGAGAACACTGTCAAGCGGCCATATGATTTATCTCTTGGTAGAAACCCTCAATTCTGGGGTCTCAAAAGAAGTTAACGCCTCCATGATAGTTCCCTTCAATATAGGGGAACAAGGGAATAGGGAATGAATCATAGCAAGGGTCTGGGGTGGGGGACTTGTTTGTATTCCTTCCCTCAGGTTGTCTCAGAATGCAATGAGGTACATTGGTTTCGATACTATTCCATGTGGTCAAAAGCTCCTTGTGTTTATGTGTTTCAGAGCAGCTGAGAGGATCTCTCCATTATGTCGTCTCTGAAGGTAACTTGACAGCCACTTGTTCTGCTAATGCCTGGCCTCGTCCTGTGATCTCCTGGATTGTGCCAAAAGCTGAGAGTGAAAAGACAGAAGAGGTGGTCACGCACCCCAATGGAACAGTGTCCGTCATCAGCAAACTCTATGTCAACAGTTCTACAAGCCTGGCAGGCCAATTGCTGATCTGCAGAGTACGGCACATGGAGGAAGACAGAGATTACAGTGTGAAAGTGAAAGAGGGTCAGTGAGTGATATATACGACCAGTGTTAATGTCCTCTTGGCTGCAAGATTTTGTACTAGCATATCTTCAGCCCCATTTTTGGATGGGGGAGATAACGAGAAACAGACTTCCAAGAAAGAGGAGAGGAAAGTGTTTGTGTTGTGGGGAGGGAGAAAGAGAGAGGATCCTATTCTGAGTTCAGCACTGCATTGGGGTTTGGTGCAGGGGACAGCAGTCTATCACTATGTGCTCTGGGAGGTGTGTGTGGGGGAAATTAGAGACATCTGTATGCTTTCTGGGACAAGGCCCCATGGTTCCTGTGGCAAACCCATGCCTCGGGCTGAAAATTCTATGTAGGGTTTTTATTGACTTAAATATGAGAATGAATAATTCAGTCAGTACGGTATCACTTGTTGTTTATTTTAATAATGAATTCAGTTAAGTGCTCTCTGCCCCAAAATTTTCAGTGTAACACCAACTTTTTTTTTTACTATCAACACAACAATGTAAAAGTTGTCAGTGGAGACTGGTGTTTTGGGTAGCCGGGAGGGGGACACTTGAGGCTCAATTTTTATAGTATTTTTAGATGTATCACTTGAGTATTTGAGCACATCACAATGCTAATTAATTTGTCCTGCCACCATCCTGATGACGTAGAGAAATATTATTAGCCCAGTTGTTAGAGAAGCATTAAAAAATTAAGGGCTGAATACTCAAAAGGAGCGAGGCTCCTTCCATTGATTAATTTCCACTGATTTAAATAGAAATTAGGAGCCTGATTCCTTTTGAGCACTCGTCTTCAGTTACTTGTCCAAGATCACACAAGAATCCTGTGACAGAAATGGTAATGCAACCCACATGGCCCGAATTACAGTATATTTGGTGCCTTGACTTTTAGACAATCATTCCGGTTTTATAGCACCTGGGAAAGCATGCAAGGCAGTTTGGGACTGTGGATCGAATCCATTAGGCTGTATGATTTTTAATGATCTTTTTAGCACAAATGGTTAACAAACAGGACTGGTCAAAATTTTCCACCAAAAATTGGATTTTTAATATTTTTATTGAAAAAATTCAAAATGAAAATTTTAATTTCATCTGGAATTGAACCGTTGGTTTCTGTTTTTGAAAAGTGGTGAAAATTTCAGTTTTGAAAAGAAAACAATGTTAGTTTGGTTTTTTTAATTGTTTTTGTTGAAAAATCAAAAAGGTTCTTGAAATCGAACTGTTTTTGCAAAATGTGTCAATTTGGACAAACCTGCAATTTTTCAAAGAAAAACAATTTCCATGAAAAAATTCAACCAGCTCTTATTGACACTATGGACATTTTTGGCTTGATCCAATTCTCATTTAAGTCAGTGAGAGTCTTTCCATTAACTTAGATGAGAATTGGATCAAGCCCTTAAATTGTCGTCATTGGAGTTCTGGTGCTAATTCCACCTTGAGATGAAGGAAAGCAGTTTACATGTCTTTGAACTATTTGTTTAAGCCTGCTTGCAAGCATCATTACATGCACTCAATTCATATTTTGAAGGTTAATTTAATCTTTGCAACTACAATAGAAATTTTAAATAAGAAATGCATGTTTCTTTTATAAATGAAAACTTGGAATCTGGAATACAGTTTGCAGTAAGGGGGACTTGTTGGGTAGGATTCTTCAAAAAATATTGTGGCTTCTGAATACACAAGGCCCTGCTTATTTATCCACCAATCATCATGACAGAGATGGAGAGACAGTAAGTTTTCTTTGCTGGGAATGATTCTGGTTACACCTTGTTAGCTTGATGAAATGTTTTCTGATTTCCCAGAGGATGTGGAAACAGAATAGGGGGAAAATAAGTGATGAAGATGGGTACCACAGGTATTTTGACAAGTGTGTTGTCAAAGATAAATTTACTCAGCCAATTTCTGCTCTGAAGAACTCTAGTGATGACCTAAATAGAAATTGGAAAGAGCCCACCATTGCCCAGTTACCCATTACGCCCTCTACACTCTCTCAGGGTATGTCTACACTATGAAATTAGGTCGAATTTATAGAAGCCGGTTTTATAGAAATCGTTTTTATACAGTCGATTGTGTGTGTCCCCACATAAAATGCTCTAAGTGCATTAAGTCGGCGGACCGTGTCCACAGTACCAAGGCTAGTGTCGACTTCCGGAGCATTGCACTGTGGGTAGCTATCCCACAGTTCCCGCAGTCTCCACCGCCCGCTGGAATTCTGGGTTGAGATCCCAATGCCTGATGATGCAAAAACAGTGTCGTGGGGGGTTCTGGGTACATGTCGTCAGGCCCCTCCCCCTCCGTCAGAGCAACGGCAGACAATCGATTTGTGCCTTTTTACCTGGGTTACCTGTGCAGACGACGTACCACAGCAAGCATGGAGCCCGCTCAGCTCAGCTCACCATCACCATATGTCATCTGGGTGCCGGCAGACGTGGTACTGCATTGCTACACAGCAGCAGCTAATTGCCTTTTGGCAGTAGACGGTGCAGTATGACTGGTAGCCGTCATCGGCTATCTGGGTGCTGGCAGATGTGGGACTGCATTGCTATACAGCAGCAGCTCCTTGCCTTTTGGCAGCAGATACTGTATTACGACTGGTATCCATCATCGTCGTACTCCTCAGTGAGTTCGGTCAGAGGCGCCTGGGCAGACATGTTTTGTCTCCTGGAGACTCAGTCCTGCCAGCAGTCCTATTGCACCGTCTTGACGATGATGGCTAGCAGTCGTAATGCACCATTTTCTGCCAAGCACCCAGAAGATGCCGATGGCTATCAGTCATGCTGCACCGTCTGCTGCCAGTCTAAGATGTAAAAGATAGATGGACCAGATTTGTTCTGTATTCATTTGCTTCCCCCTCCCTCCGTGAAATCAACGGCCTGCTAAACCCAGGGTTTTGAGTTCAATCTTTGGGGGGGCCATTCTGTGTGACAGTTGTTTGTGTTTCTCCCTGATGCACACCCACCTTTGTTGATTTTAATTCCCTGTAAGCCATGTCATCACTCGCCCCTCCCTCCCTCCATCAGACAATGGTTTTGCGCCTTTTTTCAGCCCAGACGCCATAGCACTGGGATCATGGAGCCCGCTCAGATCACCGCGGCAATTATGAGGACTATGAACACCACGCGCATTGTCCTGGAGTATATGCAGAGCCAGAACATGCCAAAGCAAAAACAGGCGAGGAGGCGATTGCAGCACGGCGACGAGAGTGATGAAGAAATTGACATGGACATAGACCTCTCCCAAAGTATGGGCCTCAGCAATGTGCAAATCATGGTGTTACTGGGGCAGGTTCATGCCATGGAATGCCGATTCTGGGCCTGGGAAACAAGCACAGACTGGTGGGACCGCATCGTGTTGCAGGTGTGGGACGATTCCCAGTGGCTGCAAAACTTTAGCATGCGTAAGGGCACTTTCATGGAACTTTATGACTTGCTTTCCCCTGCCCTGAAGCACCAGAATACCAGGATGAGAGCAGCCCTCACAGTTGAGAAGCGAGTGACAATAGCCCTGTGGAAGCTTGCAACGCCAGACAGCTACCGGTCAGTCGGGAATCAATTTGGAGTGGGCAAATCTACTGTGGGGGTTGCTGTGATCCAAGTAGCCAACGCAATCAAAGACCTGCTGATATCAAGGGTAGTGACTCTGGGAAACGTGCAGGTCATAGTGGATGGCTTTGCTGCAATGGGATTCCCTAACTGTGGTGGGGCGATAGACGGAACCCATATCCCTATCTTGTCACCGGAGCACCAAGCCACCGAGTACATAAACCGAAAAGGGTACTTTTCAATGCTGCTGCAAGCCCTGGTGGATCACAAAGGATGTTTCACTAACATCAACGTGGGATGGCCGGGAAAGGTACATGATGCTCGCGTCTTCAGGAACTCTGGTCTGTTTCAAAAGCTGGAGGAAGGGACTTTCTTCCTGGATCAGAAAATAACCATTGGGGATGTTGAAATGCCTATCGTGATCCTTGGGGACCCAGCCTACCCATTAATGCCATGGCTCATGAAGCTGTACACAGGCTGCCTGGACAGTAGTCAGGACATGTTCAACTATAGACTGAGCAAGTGCAGAATGGTGGTAGAATGTGCATTTGGACGTTTAAAAGCGCGCTGGCGCAGTTTACTGACTCGGATAGACCTCAGCGAAACCAATATCCCCATTGTTATTGCTGCTTGCTGTGCGCTCCACAATATCTGTGAGAGTAAGGAGGAGACATTTATGGCGGGGTGGGAGGTTGAGGCAAATCGCCTGGCTGCTGATTACGTGCAGCCAGAGACCAGGGCGGTTAGAAGAGCACAGCAGGGCGCGGTGCGCATCAGAGAAGCTTTGAAAACCAGTTTTGTGACTGGCCAGGCTACGGTGTGAAACTTCTGTTTGTTTCTCCTTGATGAACACTTCCCCCCGCCCCCGGTTCACTCTACTTCCCTGTAAGCTAACCACCCTCCCCACCCCCCTTCGAGCACCGCTTGCAGAGGCAATAAAGTCATTGTTACTTCACGTTCATGCATTCTTTATTAATTCATCACACAACTAGGGGGATAACTGCCAAGATAGCCCGGGAGGGGTGAGGGAGGAGGGAAGTACAAGGACACACTGCAGTTTAAAACTTTAACTCTTATTGAAGGCCAGCCTTCTGATGCTTGGGCAATCATCTGGGGTGGAGTGGCTGGGTGGCCGGAGGCCCCCCCACCACGTTCTTGGGTGTCTGGGTGAGGAGGCTATGGAACTTGGGGAGGAGGGCTGTTGGTTACACAGGGGCTGTAGCGGTGATCTCTGCTCCTGCTGCCTTTCCTGCAGCTCAACCATACGCATATCAGTTTGATGCTGAGCATATCAGTTTGATGCTCCAGCAGCCGGAGCATTGACTCTTGCCTTCTGTCAGCAAGCTGATGCCACCTATTCTCTTCAGCCCACCACTTGCTCTCTTCAGCCCGCGATTCAGCCTGCCGCTTCTCCTCTTTCATATTGTGCTTTTCTGCACTCTGACATTGACTGCCTCCATGGATTCTGCTGTGCTCTGTCAGCGTGGGAGGACATCTGGAGCTCCGAGAACATATCATCCCGAGTCCGCCATTTTCTCCTTCTAATCTTCACTAGCCTCTGCGAAGGAGAAACATTTGCAGCTGGTGGAGGAGAAGGGAGAAGTGATTTAAAAAGACACATTTTAGAGAACAATGGGTACACTCTTTCACGTTAAATTTTGCTGTTCACATTACACAGCACATGTGCTTTCATTACAAGGTCGCATTTTTCCTCTTATATTGAGGGCCTGCCGGTTTGGTGTGAGAGATCACTCACGCAGTGCCAGGCAACAGAATTCGGCTTGCAGGCAGCCATGGTAAGCCACAGTCTTTTGGCTTTTTTAACCTTCATAACATGTGGGAATGGTTTCAAACTGCAGCGCCCTCATTTCCCATACCAAGCACCCATTGGGTTGGCCATTTAAAATGGGTTTGCAATGTAAAAGGAGGGGCTGCGGTTTCCGGGTTAACATGCAGCACAAACCCAACTAACCCCCTTCCCCCCCTACACCCAATTCTCTGGGATGATCACTTCACCCCTCCCCCCCACCGCGTGGCTAACAGCGGGGAATATTTCTGTTCAGCCGAGCAGGAACGGGCACCTCTGAATGTCCCCTTAATAAAATCACCCCATTTCAACCAGGTGACTGTGAATGATATCACTCTCCTGAGGATAACAAAGAGAGATAAGGAATGGATGTTGTCTGCATGCCAGCAAACACCGGGACCATACGCTGCCATGCTTTGTTATGCAATGATTCCAGACTACGTGCTACTGGCCTGGCGTGGTAAAGTGTCCTACCATGGCGGACGGGATAAGGCAGCCCTCCCCAGAAACCTTTTGCAAAGGCTTTGGGAGTACATGAAGGAGAGCTTTCTGGAGATGTCCCTGGAGGATTTCCGCTCCATCCCCATACATGTTAACAGACTTTTCCAGTAGCTGTACTGGCCGCGATTGCCAGGGCAAATTAATCATTAAACACGCTTGCTTTTAAACCATGTGTAATATTTACAAAGGTACCCTCAACAGAGGTCCCTTGTGTGCCCTCAAGGTCTGGGAGCACACCTTGGGTGAGGTTCGGGGGTTACTGGTTCCAGGTCCAGGGTGATAAACATATCCTGGCTGTTGGGGAAACCGGTTTCTCCGCTTCCTTGCTGTGAGCTATCTTCATTGTCGTCTTCATCATCTTCCTCGTACCCCGAACCCACTTCCCTGTTGCGTGATTCTCCATTGATGGAGTTAAAGCACAGGGTTGGGGTAGTGGTAGCTGCACCCCCTAGCAGGGTCGGCTTTAGGCCAATTCCACCAATTCCCCCGAATCGGGCCCTGCGCCTAATAGGGACCCGTGCCCAGTGGCAGCGCTGCCCAGAGTGGGGGGCAAGTGGCAGAGAATCCCTTCCCTGTCTAGAGGCGCCTTTTTAATTTTTACTCACCCGGCGGCGCTCCGGCTCTTTGGCGGCACTTTGGCGGCGGGTCCTTCAGTGCTGCCGAAGACCCGGAGCGAGTGAAGGACCCGCCACCAAAGACTAGGAGCGTGGCCCAGTGAGTACAAGCCCCACGTGTTTTATTTACGTGGGTTTTTTTTTAGTCATCCCTGTCGGGGCCCCGTCGAAACTGTTCGAATCGGACCCCGCACTTCCTAAAGGCGGCCCTGCCCCCTAGCATGGCATGCAGCTCCACGTAGAAGTGGCATGTCTGCAGCTCTGCCCCGGACCTTCCGTTTGCCTCTCTGGCTTTGTGGTAGGCTTGCCTTAGCTCCTTAATTTTCACGCGGCACTGCTGTGCGTCCCTGTTATGGCCTCTGTCCTTCATGGCCTTTGAGACTTTTTCTAATATTTTGCCATTTCGTTTACTGCTACGGAGTTCAGCTAGCACTGATTCATCTCCCCATATGGCGAGCAGATCCCGTACCTCCCGTTCGGTCCATGATGGAGCTCTTTTGCGATCCTGGGACTCCATCAGGGTTACCTGTGCTGATGAGCTCTGCGTGGTCACCTGTGCTCTCCACGCTGGGCAAACAGGAAATTAAATTCAAAAGTTCGCAGGGCTTTTCCTGTCTACCTGGTCAGTGCAGCTGAGTTGAGAGTACTGTCCAGAGCGGTCACAATGAAGCACTCTGGGATAGCTCCCGGAGACCAATACCGTCGAATTCCGTCCACACTACCCCAAATCCGACCCGGAAAGGCCGGTTTCAGTGCTAATCCCCTCGTCGGAGGTGGAGTAAAGAAACCGGTTTAAAGGGCCCTTTAAGTAGAAAAAAAGGGCTTCGTCGTGTGGACGTGTCCAGGCTTAATTTGATTTAACGCTGCTAAATTCGACCTAAACTCATAGTGTAGACCAGGCCTCATGTATCTGAAGTTCCTTTGTTTGATTTATTTCCCACAGGCAGGTGGTTTTCAGTTCCTTGGTTGCTGACCTCAGTGGCCCTACTCGTAGTGTTCGTTGTGTTGGTTCTGACTGTGGTGTGCTGGAGAAGACGCAGGAAAAAGCAAAGCGGTGAGTCACTCTTTCAAGTGGAAACCAATAGCTGATTGATTGTGTGGATTCCATACAGGTGTTATTAAGCACTTGTAAAATGGCAGTTGCACAGGAGAAATTTTGCCTGCTCAGGTGTATGTGGTAGTACAATATGAGACAGGTACATTTGCTAGTGTTATTTCTAAGTTTATTAGAGGTTGCTTCAGTTTCTTATAATTTTGGAAGCTATTTGTCTGAGATTCTTTTGGAGAGGATAAGACACTACTGCATATCATTTCAGTTAACTCCAGATTAGCAGTTAGGTTAAAGTCACAGCAAAGCATAATGTCTGAATCTCACTTTCAGAGTTATGACTGCGCAGATCAGGTACCCTTCCCGTCTCTATTGGCTTTACAGGGTTTCACACAGGAGTCCAATCAAAGTCTCCTCAGAGGATTTTCAGGAAGGAAACAGCTGACTTCTTCACCCATTTGTAAACAGTGACTCCACTCACAGACCCCATCAGAAGAAGGGATCTCACCTGATCACAGTGCTTTTTTGCATTTTAAAGAGAGACAGCAGTAGGATAGGATGGAAGAGTTACTGAGTGTCTTTGTAGGTGGATTAAGGAGGAGCTGGCCTACAAGGCTGCTCCCTAAAGCTGATTCAGAGAGAAATGGACCATCCCAGTCACCTCATGCATGTGATAACCTGACAAGGGATTGGTAGCAGGTCAACAGGCCTTAATTAACTCTAGTCCAGGTTAGCAAATAGCACAGAAGAGGCAGGGAGGGTGGGGAAGGGAGAGGTAGAACCTCTTAAGGGAGAGAGCTGTGCATGGAGGGAGCATCACACTGAGCTCTAGGAATCATGGGGAGAAATTCTTAGGACTTTGTTGTAGAAGAGGTCAGACTAGTTGATGATAATTATGTTTCTGGCCTTAAAACCCATTAATCTGTTAATGCACTGTCAAACTTTTCCATGCTTTCAAACCAAACATGCATGCTGAATATTCAGAGGCTTGTTTTGCACTGATATTTTGACTTATCATCATGAAGAACTTTCCTGGAACCAAGACTCCATAATATTTACTTTGAGTGATTCTATAATTGCTGCCGGTACATTGGCTGCATAAATCACAACCATCTGGATGAGTACTTCACTGTGGAGAAAGTTTTCAAAAATGAAACCAGTTGGATTTTAACTACTGATCAGATGCCCTAATATAGTCCGTGGCATCTTTTCACTGATGCAGAACACACACAATCTTGTTATGGTCCCATAAAGAATGAAAAACAAAGAAACCCCCCTACCCAATTTAAACTGTATCATTCTCTAAATCCCAGCCCTTTGCAACAAGATGGACAAGAGGGAGTCTTGGTGAGAGCTGATTCTGGCGTCCATTGTTCTGTTCAGGTTTTGTACATTATCTCTCGTGCAAAGAATTCACAGGCAAAACCTATTTCTGTTTGATAAGTGCAGGCAAGTGCTATGTTGTGGTGGCTATGGGCATTCCCTCCTAAGGTTAAATTCCCTCTGCTTCACACTCTAATCAATTAATTTAATCTCCCAAATAAACACAATAATACTTCAAAGGAAAATTCAATTTTCCTTCTCCCCCCTCCGCCAGTAAAACATGGACACACTTTGCCAGGGGAAACATTTTTAAATGCTGCTTTTGTAAAACTTTTGTTGAAAATCTCACTTTCTTGGAATCTCTCTGGCTAAAGACCCATAGTCACCACAAACTTCTCATGCCCTGGTGTTATCATAACGTGTCACAAATCGGACATTTTTCAGATTAAACACAGGAGTTATTCCACTGTTAGTCATAATCTAATTTAAATCTGCAAAGAAAAACCAGGAGAACTGCCAAGTTTCTGGCTGCTCTGCTCACGTTACACTCCCACTCCAGACCAGGGCGAGACAGAACATTCCCTTCTTCCTTGGGTAACACAAAAGCTTTACCACTTCTGGGTGTTACAGGGAATGGAGGGGGGAAGTGATGCTGTGTGTGGCAGACAAGAGGTTAGGGAGATTGTGATGTGGAGAAGGAGGGCCAGAGAGGAGCTGTGCTCTGATGAATCCCATGGCTCATCAGAGAGGACTTAAACTACTTACGACGTCTCCGACTCAAAGAATATTTCCAACACCCCTCTGAACAACATACTAATCCACAGAATCCTTCCTACCAGCACTACAAAAAGAAGGATTCTGCTTGGACTCCTCCTGAAGGTCGAAACAACGGACTGGACTTCTACATAGATTGCTTCCATCGACGTGCACGGTCTGAAATTGTGGTAAAGCAGCATCACTTGCCCCATGACCTCAGCTGTGCTGAACACAACACCATCAACAGCCTCAGGAACAACTCTGACATCATAATCAAAATGGCTGACAAAGGAGGTGCTGTCGTCATCATGAATAAGTTGGAATATGAACAAGAGGCTGCTAGGCAGCTCTCTAACTCCACATTCTACAGGCCATTATCCTCTGATCCCACTGAGGATTACCAAAAGAAACTACACCATCTGCTCCAGAAACTCCCTGAAAAAGCACAGGAACAGATCTGTACAGACACATGCCTAGAACCCCAACCAGGGGTATTCTATTTGCTACCCAAGATCCATAAACCTGGAAATCCTGGACACCCCATCATCTCAGGCATTGGCACCCTAACAGGAGGATTGTCTGGCTATGTGGACTCTCTCCTCACCAGCACTCTCAGCTATCTTCGAGACACCACTGACTTCCTGAGGAAACTACAGTCCATCAGTGAACTTCCAGAAAACACCATCCTGGCCACTACGGATGTAGAAGCCCTGTACACCAACAGTCCACACAAAGATGGACTACAAGCTATCAGGAACAGTATCCCCAATAATGTCACGGCAAACCTGGTGGCGGAACTTTGTGACTTTGTCCTCACCCACAACTATTTCACATTTGGGGACAATATATACGTTCAAGTCAGCAGCACTGCTATGGGTACCCGCATGGCCCCACAGAATGCCAACATTTTTATGGCTGACTTAGAACAACGCTTCCTTAGCTCTCGCCCCCTAACATTCCTACTCTGCTTGCGCTACATTGATGACATCTTCATCATCTGGACCCATGGAAAAGAAGCCCTTGAGGAATTCCACCATGATTTCAGCAATTTCCATCCTACCATCATCCTCAACCTGGACCAGTCCACACAAGTGGTCCATTTCCTGGACACTACTGTGCTAATAAGTGATGGTCACATAAACACCACCCTATACCGGAAACCTACTGACCGCTTGTCAAGGTTCCTTCCCCACTCTGAACTTTAGGGTACAGAGGTGGGGACCTGCATGAAAACCTCTAAACTGAATTACCAGCTTAGATCTGGTTTTGCTGCCACCACTCCCAAATACTAACTCCCTTCCCTGGGTAGCCTTGAGACACTTCTCCACCAATTTCCTGGTGAACACCGATCCAAACCCTTGGATCTTAAAACAAGGAGAAATTAACCATTCCCCCTCCTTTTCCCCCCACCAATTCCTAGTGAGTCCAGATCCAATCCCCTTGGATCTTAAAACAAGGGAAAATCAATCAGGTTCTTAAAAAGAGGGCTTTTAATTAAAGAAAGAAAGGTTAAAAAATCATCTCTGTAAAATCAGGATGGAAAATAACTTTACAGGGTAATCAGATTCAAAGAGCCCAGAGGAACCCCCTCTAGCCTAAGTTCAAAGTTACAGCAAACAGAAGTAAACCCTCTAGCAAAAAGGAACATTTACAAGTTGAGAAAACAAAGATAAACCTAACACGCCTTGCCTGGCTGTTACTTACAAGTTTGAAATATGAGAGACTTGTTCAGAAAGATTTGGAGAGCATGGATTGATGTCCAGTCCCTCTTCGTTCCAAGAGCGAACAACCCCACAAACAAAGAGCACAAACAAAAGCCTTCCCCCCACCAAGATTTGAAAGTATCTTGTCCCCTTATTGGTCCTTTGGGTCAGGTGTCAGCCAGGTTACCTGAGTTTCTTAACCCTTTACAGGTAAAAGGATTTTGGTGTCTCTGGCCAGGAGGGATTTTATAGTATTGTACACAGGAGGACTGTTACCCTTCCCTTTATAGTTATGACACCGCTATACTTACCTACGTGCCTCCAGCTTCCATCCAGGACACACCACACGATCCATTGTCTACAGCCAAGCTCTAAGATACAACCGCATTTGCTCCAATCCCTCAGACACAGACAAACACCTACAAGATCTCTATCAAGTATTCTTAAAACTACAATACCCACCCGCTGAAGTGAAAAAACAGATTGACAGAGCCAGAAGAGGACCCAGAAGTCACCTACTACAGGACAGGCCCAACAAAGAAAATAACAGAACGCCACTAGCCATTACCTTCAGTTTCATGACTGGCCAGGCTACGGTGTGAAAGTTCTACTTGTTTCTCCTTGATGAAAACCCGCCCCCTTGGTTCATTCTACTTCCCTGTAAGCCAACCACCCTCCCCTCCCCCTTTGTTCTCCACTTGCAGAGGCAATAAAGTAATTGTTGTTTCAAATTCATGCTTCTTTATTAATTCGTCACACAAATGAGGGGATAAGTGCCAACGTAGCCTGGGAGGGGTGGGAGAGGAGGGAAGCACAGGGGTGGGGTAGTTGTAGAGGCACCCCCTAGAATGGCATGCAGCTCATCATAGAAGCGGTATGTCTGGGGCTCTGACCCGGAGCGGCCGTTTGCCTCTCTGGTTCTTTGGTAGGCTTCACGCGGCACTGCTGTGGATCCCTGTTATAACCTCTGTCCTTCATGCCCTTGGAGATTTTTTCAAATATTCCGGCATTTTGTCTTTTGGAACGGAGTTTGGATAGCACGGATTCATTTCCCCATACAGCGATCAGATGCAGTACCTCCCAGTTGGTCCATGCTGGAGCTCTTTTGCAATTCTGGGACTCCATGGTCATCTGTGCTGATCAGCTCGCCACGCTGGCCAAACAGGAAATGAAATTCAAAAGTTCGCGGGGCTTTTCCTGTCTACCTGGCCAGGGCATCTGAGT